CATGCAGGTACATTTAAACTTGCAGATAAACAATGTCCAAAGAAACACTATTTAAAATGGAACGAGAGGCCGGCAATATTGAGAAACAGGGTTCCAGTTCGCCCAGATTACATTTACATTCTTATTAATGCCAATGTGTTGACCACGTGTTTTCTCCAGATTACATTTACATTCTTATTAATGCCAATGTATTGACCACGTGTTTCTGACTACGTCCGATTTTATTGGTTAAGTTTACATCTAACGAATCGAAACGCTCCATTGAGAATGTATGGCTCATCTGTCAATTTTGTTTACAAATGACAATGCAACAAGGATACTCGGGTTGAAAGGAAAATTTTGTGCAAAATCTTGTCTTGCTGATCATTTTAGCTGGACATAATGTTTGAACAAATCCTCCGAAGGAGTCGATTACTTTTTGTGTGTTGATGTTCAGTATTTCAATGTATATCTCTTATAGTTTTCGAGACATTAGGTAAAAACACTAAAATCGGTCATAAATCAAAAGGCAGCAACTATAATGAGCAAACTAACGACTTATACCATTAGACGTTGACTAAATCTTATCTTGCTTATCATTTTTATGCTATCTCAAATTTCCTTACATTTGCCACATCTTCGTAAAAATCGGCATTGAAGTGCAATTATTCCCAGAAGAGAAGATTAACGATTTCTGCGATGTTGACCCATTTATCGTGCTTATAATTTTTGCTGTCAAAAGTAATCTCTATTCAAGATTTAAAGACACCTACAAATCATCATTTAAGGACAATTACTCCAATGTTGAGTCGAACGTTTTGTCTATGTTGGGGTATTTCCAGATTGTTACTTGATGATCAACTTTGCTGTTTTAACTGTCGATTTTTTGTTTATTTTCTAGATAAATGTCAAAAATAGAAATATGGGTAAAATCGTCATTTAAGGGCAATACTACTTACAACACGAAAAACGCAGAAGTTTATAAAAATGATCTTTGAAGGGCAATACATGTAAATGAACGCATCAAAGATACCAGGCTTATAATGTTGTACATAAAGGCAACAGTAGTATACCCCTGTTCGAAACTCATAAATCGATAGAGATAAAAACAAATCCGGGTAACAAACTAAGACTGAGGGAAACGCATCAAATATAAGAGGAGAACAACGACACAACAAAAACCAGGCGCACGTTTCGTGTGCAAATAACTAACTAAACAATGTACTTGCTATTGACGAAACTCACATTCGTGGAATTTCCTTTACATTTTCGATGACATAATGCTTGTATTCTTACATTTCACTTAGAGTCGATTGTTCAATTTTAACCTATGAAAAAACTGAACTAGCTCAAAACTTAAAACATAAATATACATATCAGACATACATACATGTATTAGACATGGGCGAATGCTTGTCCCAATGATGAGTCAGAGGTATGTATCTTTTTCCTTTCCATATTTGGTAGAAATACGTCTATGAGACTTTGATTATATTAACGTTAGATAAGTGTACATATAAAAACAAATCTTAAACCGTCCGAATGAAATAGAACTACAGTTTGAAATACAAGATAAAAACAAACATGGCAATATCACAAAATAAGGGGTAAAATGAAATGCATCCGTTTCATTTGTATGAATAAAGGTAATTATTATAAAAACCCAATCACCCAATGAATTGTCAAGAAGGGTGGTGGTCCATAAACACGGCAAAGTTGCGAGAAATAACCAACAAATAAAAATTGTAAATAATTATGTCAAGTAACGACATTTTCAAGATAAAATGTTAAGTTGAACATTTTTTGCGTTGCGAATATACGTATTGATTAGATTTACAAACCTCTTGGTTCTTCATTAATACGTTATCCAGTCTGAGGGTTTATCCATTCACATCCAATCGGCTCCTCTGTCATATGTCACATCTTACTCTGACATATGGCTTTCATCTTATGACCGAAGATGTCCTTCTGTGTGGCTCAACCACTCGCTAATATTTCCATTGAAATAACTTCGGGACAGTTTTATTCTGTACAAAGAGTCTGTAATTTACACACTGTGTGATGTGGAAGTGGCTCATATCCCAAGGGTATTTCGTATTATTTCTATTCATTTTGCACGTAATTTGCGGGTTTTTTTTTGTGCTTGGAAAAGGGAGAAATGTTACATTTTCCGTCCATGGATATTTAAAGACATTAGTTTTCTTTCTGTTGTACGATTCACAGCCTGGATTTACTAGAGTGTTTTGGTTTTCGACTAGACATTTGCTATTTCCGCCTCTGAAACTTCCATTGAATGTCACATGATCACGAGCACTTTATTTTTCCTCCAAAGAGCTACCCGGACAAACGCGTATAGGTCACGCTGATCTTATTTGGGTCAGGTGACCTAAACACTGTGTTACAAAACCTTTTAGAATTTTGGGTCCTCAATACTCTTCAACTTTGTACTTTATTTGGCCTTTTTAACTTTTTCATACGAGCGTCACTGATAAAGTATTTTTTTGTAGGCGCAATAAACGCGCGTCTGCGTACAAAATTGTAATCCTGGTATCTATGATGAGTTCTTTTTACACTGTAAAATATCTAAAAAGTAATAATCATAATGGGGAAAAAATCAATAAATATTTCGGGTAATAATTGTCATTCGTCACTATTAAACCATTCCGTGTAAACTTAGTATCAATCATATTATAATAGAAATCCTGAATATCATACAAATAAACATAGGCTGGCGAAATAGTAAAAACCTTTGACTTCCGTATTAGGAAGAAAAACAATAACCACATAATCAGTACTAAAGTACTATTTATATTATATAACAATATCCTATAATTAAAAACAGATCGATAGGTACCACACTACGAACCGGTGCATATTACGCCTACATTCCGTACATCTAAAGACACACCCACGTTCATTTTGATCTATAAAGAGGTTAACTCCTAACTATCCTACTGCCTGTCGATACATTTATTTTAAGCACTGCACAAGTCATGTCTTCTTTGACTGTTCATGATGTTAAAATACTAAATCTTTGGGATGTGTTTTAGTTGATTTTAGTCTCTGATGCATGATTTTTTATTATTGATTGTCTTTGGCTTTTAACTAGCTGTCAGTAACTGCGAGTACTCTCAAATCGTACTTTCTTGTTCATTTGACCTGTTGATACTAATTGTAAAGCTTTTTTTGTTATTAAATGTTTACTTCTTCAGGGTTATATCTGGTCTATATACCAGCTTTGATAAGTGTTTGGTATTACTATAAATTTTCACTTCTTCGTACTATGAACATCAAAATTATTTATTTTGTAAACATATTTCCTTTCTCCATTTGAACTGTTCACGTATACCTAACAACAAAATTATTTTTATTTACCTTTGTTTAAAGTTATTGCAAATGGCTGACATTTTTCTTCAAGCATATTGTTTTTCTTAAATTGTTTAACATTTCACAGCGGTATAACATGTTACTTTAATTATTCTTCCCTTAGTTTATTTATTTTGTATTTACATTGTATCGTAGATCAAATTTATTTGTTCAGTGTATGTTCACTGGTGTTAATATGTCTTTTGATTGAGTTAAGCCATTTCAATTGATATTTTAAAGTGTGTCTTTCTATGTTGTGATGTTACACTATTGTTTCAGATAAGTGTGAAGGTTTGGTACCATTAAAACGTTTAAACCCGCTGCAATTGTTTGCACCTGTCCTAAGTCAGGAATCTGATGTTCTGTAGTTGTCGTTTGTTGATGTGGTTCATAAGTGTTTCTCGTTTCTAGTTTTTTATATAGACTAAACCATTGATATTCCTGTTTGAATGGTTTTTCACTAGTAATTTTTGGGGCCCTTTATAGCTTGCTGATCGATGTGAGCCAAGGCTCCGTGTTGAAGACCGTACTTTGACCTATAATGGTTTACTTTTATAAATTTTGACTTGGATGGAGAGTTGTCTCATTGGCACTCATACCACATCTTCTTATATCTCCTTATAAAAATAGTAAACATATTTGCTTTTCAGATTTCGTAAGCAATGTTGGAACAATTTAACACAATAGTTTGTTTCTAGAGTGGGTTGATCGAGATGGACGGCGAGAATTTACCATGGCTTTGAATAGAAAGATATGCCGGTTGTACGTTAAAAATTGTTGAGATCACAACCCATAAATTCTAAAACGACATCTTAATGGAAGCATACATATAATATATATCTGATTTTTTTTTCGGGGAATTCGGATATTGAGGGTTCCTGTGGTCTGTCGTAGTGGTTATTTATATTTTCAACAATAAACAATGCAAGTGTCTGTAAAATTTCAAATTCTAAATGCTCTTAGAATACTTTTAAGTAGAAAAAATTTGACAATTTTTTTCTCTACAAACATTTTAAATCAAAACTTCTCTAATAATCATTCCTCCTACTTTTTCATATTAAAATACCTGCACTTTTAAAAGTTTCAAACCGATGTAGTGTTACGTTTTGAGTTGTTATTGAATTAACGTCTAATGTATAACCTAAGAGACAAGTAGCTCAACATTCTTGTGTTTTTGTTCTTTTATTAACAGTTATCTGGTTAAAAGGTGATTAATGTCCCATGGTTCTATGTATCGTCTTCCTAGTTTAATTCAGTACTGTCTTTGATTCACCATATGGAGGAATTCCGTCGGAGTTGTGGGGTATCCGTTAAGTAGACAGTATCCAAACAACACTAACAAAATAAGCCATATATGCTGATGAAATGGGTTATAATATGAGTTAAAGGTTTATATTCGATTTTGTTAGAAAGAAAATAATTACAGCTGGCATATATCATATTTCAATCTTCTAAAAGAAAGTTTATATAATTCAAATTTATATTTCATGTTTGAGTTGTTTTTCTTGTGTATTGTCTATATTGCAATTGTTTAATATAAAAAAAATCACTGTACTGATTATGCCCATAATGGGTCTCTATTGGAAATAAAATTTATCTTATCTTATTTTATCTTATAACGTGAGTGATTTCTTATTTTTCTTTCTTTTTTTTAGATTAAAACGAAGACATGTATCAATGTTGTTCCATGGAATTGCTGGTGTTTCGCTTGTCATTTCTGCTCTGCTGGGGTCGTTTAAAAGTAAATTTTTCATGAAACGATTTACTGGTGATAATAGTAGTCAGAAAATTATTGGATCAATGCATGCCTATATACTAAATTAAGGTCTGTGCACTTTATTATACATTTACCTCGAATCCATAACGTACAACCGAAAAACAAATTTGGTGATTGTTGATCGAAAACTTAAGCTGCTTTTTAGTGAGTAAGATGTGAGATAATAATAGAGCTATATAAAAATAAGGAGATGTGGTATGATTGCCAATGAGACGACTATCCACCAAAGTTCAAATGAAGTGGATGTAAACAATTATAGGCAAGAATTTAGATAAATAGAACCATGTGACATTAACAGTCAGAGAAAAACATGACCTTGTGCAATGCCAAAATATAATTATCTACAGATTGTAGGACCATGTATGTACATATGTGTATAACAATAATGTTTAGTATGGTTTTATTTTACTAATAACAAAATCAATATGTATACCATGTTTACTTGATTGGTTTTTTTTTCATATTTGCCGTGCATTCCCATTTGTTTATTTAACTTTAATTGATTTGGTATGTTTACAAAAGACTTTTTTCAGGATCGGTTTTCTAGTGTTATCAAATTGAACAGTTTTGCCAAACCGGTTAATCGGATAATCTTTCGACCGATTAACCGGTAGTTAAGTTGATGTTTGAGGGCATACGATACAGTCTTGATCTCATGGTGAATTTATGACGAAAGTTTGCATACAAGCTATTTTTCACTTAGTCAATTCAAATATGAAATCAAAAATATACGTTCATGTGCTAACTTTAGAGATGAAAGGTCTTAAATTTTGGACATTTACTGGAAATTTCGGTTCTTGGACATTTCTATCCTTTGGAAAGACATACCTAGGTCTTTGTTTTAAAGATAAACCAAGCGGATATTTGTAAAAACATTTGGAATATCTTCTCTACATATGATTGCTTTGAATTTGTGTAATAATTCTTTGGAAATAATTCATTTTTATCACAATTCCTGGTTTTAGTCAAAAAACGGCATTTCTTGCTGTATATCTATATAATTTTAAAAAATTTCATCGGTGACTTTTTCATAAAAATTGGCACCAATAATCTTCACACATAATCAAGCCAAACGTCATTTTTAAAAAGAGGGGTCTATGAACTCGTTTTCAAGTTAAATCAGTCTGAATGATAAAAATCAGTCGAAAAATGCATTTTTTTCCCGGTATATCACAGTTTGACGTAGCGAAAAATAACATTTTACGTTAGCGACGTCCTTACATCCCCTGTAACTGTATCGTATGCCCTTAAAGGCTTTACTGAGAATTTACAGTACACTACAAATGCACGGCTTCGTGATGCGATGAATTGAAGTTTATTCTTGGGCTTTATATGGCTTGATTTTGAGAATTTCTTGTGAAGTTTGTGTTTTAGAAATCCAATAATACCATATCTACAGTGCCGTTTGTTTAATATTTTCAGATTGAGAAGTTTAAAATCTTCTTGATCTCGGCGAATTGACAAAGTATGAAAATTCTGTGGGATGTTTCAATTTGAGATGATTAAGCGTGTTACTCGTACTACACAGTATTTATTATATGTTAATTCCATTCACATAAGTTGGATTTCACAATTTTTGAGTCGGGATTTCGTTAAAAGTATGAAAAAGTCTTGGACGATGAAGTAGGCATATTTACGCAATATTAAATCAAAAGTGAAATAATGAAGTAAATATTAGTAAAATTTAATCAGCTTAGAATAATTCAAAATACATGTATAATAATTATTGTTTACTTTAGATTTTGCCCAAAGCTGATAGATAAGTTGTCTTTGCGCTGATTAATTTTGTAAAATTAGAATGTTTTCAAGGTACTGTGGATTCATAATTATTCGTTGGATACCAATTTTCGTGGGTTTCGTGGGTACAGATGAACCACGAATTTAAATGTTCAACGAATAACAAATTTTCTATAGGCTTTGCATGCAGTGATTGGCAAAACCACGAAATCAAATATCCACGAAAACGCAAGTTTTCCTCAATCAACGAAAATTGATACCCACGAAAATAAATGAATCCACAGTAATTGAATAGCAATCAATATCCTGGACAGTTGATGTATCAAATTAAGTAGCAAGACGATCATTTAAAAATTCAAACAAAATTCAAATTCAATGACTGCAATACACATTTATATCTATTTGCATTGAAAAAAGGGGCCGGTTAGCGTTAATGGTATTCGATATTCGGTCCTTCCGACGGATAACCGTTGACAACACTAGAACGTAATACTATATAGTATCGTTTTCATAACAGTGTGGACAAGACCATATCTTGTCGCACTCAGATCACCGATTGACTGGGTCAGATTTGGTGAACGTTCGTCTGTAACGCCCACTTATCACGTCGTACTTATCATAGCCATTTAAACTGTGGGGTCACCAAGGTTCTCAACGCCTGAATCCAATTATTCTAAAATACTAGAACAGGAATAAACCTTGTGTTTTGATTAATACTGAATACTTAAACATTCTTTACTGGTGTGTAATTTTTTTATGATATCGCACGTTCTTTAAACATTAAAATCAATTTAACTAGCTTTAAAAGTTACAATGCCGTGTTAGCTATTATCTTTTTCGGACGTCAAAGCGATTTAATAATTGCGGTTGTCTAATTTTTTCACTTAGTATCTTTTAACTTTTATCTTGTCTAAAATTTATTTTAGAACAATGCAGGATCAACTTGCAATTGCAAAACATAGACAAAATCTACTTTCGTACGGTCTTTTTTGTACTTGCAAGATATTGGACAGTAAAAAGCTATTTAGACCAAGCCTTATGAAATTTGCATTTACTTTATGATATAGGTAAAATGTACTGGTCCGAGTACACAGTTATTGTCCCTTGAGTTTCGTTGTCCACAAATATAGTCCCTAGTGTGTTACTTGTTATTTTTAATACCTCTTTCAAATGTATTTTTTAATGTTTTATGCCTCAAATAGCAAGTAAGGGGATGAAATTACACTGTAAAAAAACTTGGGTTATGAATTTTAAAGTAAAGTAGTGATTTGGTCCAGCTGAAAAAAGGTTAAAAATTAGTATTTTGTAAGCTGTCAAAAGATTTCAAGACCCCCTTAACATGAAATTGTCCATATTTTGAGTTAGAGCCGATGAAGTTTTCTATAATTTTGATATAATTTGTCCCAAAAGTAGTACAACACACTGTAAAAATATTAAAATTGAGATAGCCCAGGTGGGATTTGTTTTATTTTCATTTATTGTCTAAAAGAAATGCACTACGAAATAACGGTGTACTCGGACCTAAGAGGTGAAATAAGTAAATATAGAATCTGTACTTTGGCAACTTCCCTGAATGATTTAATGGTGCCAATTTGTCAAATAGCATGAAACTAAAGAGTATAAACTTTTATTTGATAAAAATTCTGCAAAAATGACCCATTTTGACATTATATGGTCAAAATAAGCATTTCAAAGCTTTTTCAGTTTTGATGCATAAGTGGCATTCTTACTTTCTATGTGACAGGTTTTCATGTGTCAATATTTGTGTTTCTATGCTTTAATCCAGTTGTATAACTTATTTGTTAACTCTGAATCTACAGAAAAGAAGATTATCTCAGACAAAATGTGCAAAATGTGTTGTATAAATGACCCTCGTCTAACGCCCTGTTTGGATCAAGTTAAATGTGAGGAGCTTGGTACATAAAAGTTGAAGTCCATAATAAAGATTTCACTAAATTTGTATAAAAAGCACTTTACAATGTCTTTTGTACCTGTTTCATTTCACATAATATCTTTCTTTTCTTCTGTAGAATAGCAAGTGGTTCAAATATAAGTTAAGCCTATTGAGCCTAAAATTGCATGCAAGTTTTTCACTAAAAAGTGAAAAATCTTTGTATCAGACCATACTGTCTTCAAAAAAAGTTGAATGCAAGAATCCTTTTGTGCTCAGATTTATTGCATCATATAACCTGAGTATAGAGATTATAAAAACAGACACACATTTTTATTTCCTATAGCTTTAGTATGCATTTTTAAATGTAAATGTGTGCTACGGCCTAAATTCACCCTAAATTATTTTCAGTCCTACTTGGCTTAAGACCCTTTTATACTAATATGGTATACTATTAGTAATTTTTCTTTCTATTTAAAGTACATTAAATACATATGTAAGGATTATTTATTACCGAAAAACTTCACAAATTTAAAAATACTGGAAAATATTACATCGATCTTCATGTAAGGCCCCCCGTCTGATAAATCAAATGAGAATTCTATTGCTTTTAATACATGATATATTACATATTAAGGCATTTAAAAAGTAATTTTTTGCAATATTTTAATTTTTAAAGCCCCAAATGTTGAAAGTTGATTTTTTTCAATTTTAACATCAAAATTAAACACTCAAAGTTGAATATAGAATTTATCATATTGTCTATAATATATATCTTATTGCCATGAAACTTTGTCAGCAGTCTCATAATATATTAAGCTTTTGTCATACCAAGTTTTATTAGGATTGATCAAGTTTTTCTATCCTATTAGGTCCGAGTACACAGTTATCGTCCCTTGATTTTCGTTGTCCACAAATATAGTCCCTAGTGTGGACAGTGTGTTACTTGTCATTTTTTTTTATACCTCTTCCAAATGTATTTCTTCATGTTTTATGCCTCAAATAGCAAGTAGGGGGATGAAATTAAACTGTAATAAAATTGGGTCATGAATTTTAAAGTAAAGTAGTGATTTAAAAATTAGCACTTTGGAAGCTGTCAAAAGATTTCAAGACCCCCTTAACATGAAATTGTCCATATTTTGAGTTAGAGCCGATGAAGTTTTCTACAATTTTGATATAATTTGTCCCAAAAGTAGTACACCACACTGTAAAAATATTATTGAGAAAGCGCAGGAGGGATTTTTTTTATTTTCATTTATTGTCTAAAAGAAATGCACTACGAAATAACTGTGTGCCCGGACCTACTGTTTGGTGTATATAAGAAACTGGAAATTAT